GGACACAGTATGCAGGATAGGCTGGTGTGTGCTTCATGAGGCCTGCAGGGCCAACGCAGGACATGCACTAGGTTCCAGTATATGGGTCCAGTTTGTGGGCCTGATCTCACCTATGGACCAGCCTCATACCCATCATCTAAACTGTGAGGTCAGATGAGTTTGATGCTCCTGTTATAAAGTAATGAAGTGTTTCCAGTTTCCTTTATCAGGTGACACTATTAAAACTAGCTTGCAGTGAACAACTGGAAGCACAGCTTGGTTCCCAGTTAAAGTGATGGCACAGAGTTCTTCTTCAACATGTTTAAAAAGATAGGAGGAGAAAAGAAGAGTATGACCACTTTGAAACTATGTACTGAGCATGGTTTACTAAATGTACCCTGTTCAGGTGGGCCCAGCTCAGGGCCTGAATAATTTGACTCTCATACTATGTCTTGTACTTGAGCTTTATGTCTAACACCATTTTCAGTAAAGACTGTTTCTGATATCAAGACAAAGGAGCTTGCCAGCTTCCAACACTGAAAAAAAATGTTCAAATTCTTATCTAAAAGTTTCCTCTGGATAGGGTAAGTCATGGCTGCTCAGCTGGCAGCCCGCAGACTGCTACCAGCCCACAGGGGGTTAAAGTGTGGTTCCTGGGCTCCTGCCTGGCTGAAGCTCACCCCATCACTCTTCCTACTGTGGCAGCTGAGCTCTCCAGGCTCTCCCTCCCTCCCTCCTCTGGCTTCTGCTTCCTGCCCCTGCTCCTGGAAACAAGGTGGAGCTGGGCAGCAGGAGAGCACTGTGTGCATAGCAGGGGGAAATCCAGGCTGCCCAGGCAGCAAGTGGGAGCCAGTTTGCTATGCTATGTACATGGCCAAGAGGGAAGCTGCACTGCTTGTGTAGTGGAAGGGACTAGGCTGCTTGTGCTGCCTGCACAGTGGCGGGATGGGGAGCTGGGCTGTTCATAGGATGCCTGCACAGTTTAGAGGGAGGGGGGAAGCAGGGTTGCTTGCAGCACTGGGTCCAGGCTGGCAGGGTGTGGAGGAGAGCACGAGCTGCTTACATGTGATGGGGGAGAGCCGGACTGCTCACACCACTGGATGAGACTCTGGGAGGAGGGTACTTTTGGGGTGTGTGGCCTTGGGTCTATAGCCTGTGAGGTATACAGCCCTCCCCACCCCACCCCGCACTGTCCAGAAGTTGGACAGCCCTGGGGCAAGTCACCTACAAAGCAAATAATTGTGAGAGAAAATAACATGGAGAAACAAGAAAGCTACACATGAAACTGTTAGTGACCCTGAAAATGCAGTGTTTACTGCCAAGCAACGTACTACCAACTTCATATATTCACAGGTAGTGATTTTTTTGAGAATGATACCAGATATTCTACTCATTCTGTAAACTAGAGCAGGGATGGGCAACCTTTTTGCAGCTGTAGGCTGGAATGACCCACTCCTGGGTCAGAGATAAATTGGTGCTAGCACCCATCCACAGGCAGTGCTTGTCTCCCGCAGGGGCATGAAGAGAGCACCTGTAGCCAAAACCTTCTAAACCCCACATCTACAGACCAGATCAATTGTCCCATAGGCTGGATCTGACCTGCAGACTATAGGTTGTTGATTCCTGAACAAGAGTATAACAACTACATTGTTTATGTTCAACTGTTCACTATTTAAGAACTAACTGCAATCCTAAGAACACTTTCCACAAATCTATTACCTATTAAAATCGTTTTAACAATTATTAGCTTAAGTTAGAACAATATATTGGTGTTTAATTTTGGACAGCTTTTTATTTCTACCAAGATAATGACCTCTGTAGCTGTAGAAATGATGCCATTTTACAATGACTATCGTGCGGGCCGGGAGCAGTCCGAGGCCCTCGGGGGTCTTTTTCGCGTGGCGGGCTGTGGCCAGCAGCTCGGACACGCCGGGTCGGGGAAGGCAGGCGGCACGCTAGAATTAGGCACGGACGCTTAGTGGTTGATTTAAGATTATTTTACTTACACCGAAGATGGTTGCGGTGCAGGCAGGAAAACTTGCTTGAGTTGCAGTTACAGACAGAAAAGAAGAGAGGCGGACTAGAGTTCCTTCCCCGCAAACCTCTAGCCCAATCCGGTTGGAGGCTCTAAACTGCGAGCCCGTCGCGCCAACCGAAGAAAGTACTCGAAGCAAAGAGCTCTGAATACACTCACACGAAGTTTGCTAGGCTCCGTGGAACTTGCGCGCAGGGAAGGGTACGTCGAGAGATCAGGCAGCGACGGGGAGAGGCCAGAGGCTGATCAGACCCCTATAGCCTTCTTGATATACACGCTGGGTCCGATAGGCTCCGCAGCGCTTAGAGATCTTCACGAAACGTGAAGCCCTCCTCTTTCTCTTTTTCTCTCTCCAGATGGTTGTGGAATCCTCCCTTGCGGGGTTCTCCTTGGAGTTCTCCAACTTGGGCGGAAACCGCTCAAGCCTCTTATACAGCTAGCAAGCCAATCACTAGCAGCCACGTGGGAATAATTTAGAACTGGCCAATAGTGGGACACAAATTTGTATACGAATGGCGGGAACCCCTTGCACCGTGCATTTCCCTTTTTGCAACCTAGAAATGCACCCTGCAAAGAAAGCACGAGTGGCGGGAAATAATTTAGCAGTGCCAAAGCATGCACAAACAAAAATCACACCCTTGGGTTGTGATAACTATGAAATTTCCAAATTTTTCAAAAAATTGACCTGTAAAAATCACACCTACAAAGTCATTTTTCTACACTATAGACATGTAATGCTGCCATTTCAAAATACAACATGTTAGATATACATATTAAATATGAAAATATCCTGTTCTGTTTGGTGTCTGGGGTTCTTTTCTGTTTAAGTGCCTTCTTTGAAATTAAACAAATGCTAAATTAATTCAGTCTTGGTCTTTCCTGCCTGCCCCCTATAACTGCTCACTCCCAGACAATATATGATGCACCAAGCCAATGAGCTGGCTTGTTTAAACTAGATGGGAAAGTAATGATTAAGTCTGGCTGTGCATTTCTGTATTAACAACATGATTTAAAGAATTTCCTTTGGAAAGGGTTGGGTTTTTGGAGTTTGTTTTTGGGTTTTTTTGTTTGTTTTACATTCTTTCTATACACTTCCCTTATAATGTCTACCACCACATTCTAATGATGGTTATTACAGACTTAATAAAGGAGATCTTCTCTGGCTAAGTCTCTGCTTTAATATATTAAGTAATATATAGCACATTAAAGACAATGCTAGGATTGAACCTCAGTGCTCACACTGAATGCTGCAAGAAATTTTGACTTGCTAGGCAAATTATTGCATAACTGCAATGATGTCTCAGCATTTTCAAATTGTCTTTGAAGTTATTAATCAACTGTGTTTTTGCTCCATCACTTTAATACAGTGCAGTTTAAAATTTTCAGTAGTTTTTTCCATTTACTATTCTGATGTGGAAGATACCACATTTGTAAACTTAAAAAGTATAAAAATAAAAAAGAGAATGGTCTTTTATGAAACTTAAAAGCCAACTGCCTCCACAACATTTCTTTGATGTTCTTTGAATTCACCAGTAGATATTTGAATTTTCTTGTAACTCCTACCACAATAGCTCCTTACTAAGAGGATGCCTATACTGCACACTGTAAATGAGCTAGCCTGCACCCCTGAAGCAGCCTGTTTAAGGAAGAACAATGTTCCCAAATAGGCTAATTTACTGTACTTCCAAGGGAGGCATATGATGTTAATAGCTCAGTTCTGAGTCATGCTACAGCTCCTGTGCTCAAGCAGAAAACAGAAGCTGTGGGGATATCTTAAAAAGTCATACTGGGATAGCATTGAATTGGTCAGACCTACCTCACTTTGACAGAGACAGCTTGTTATGGACTGGCTCAGATGCAGGAGGCACAGTACAACCACAACTGCTCTTCGGTAACTGATCATTAGCAGGTTGGCTTCTTGAGTGTTTGTCACCAGTGCCTAGTTTTGAGTAACTAAATTATACCAAGGCTGATCAGGTGCCCAGGATGTGAGATCTGCATTCAACATATTTGGAGTTCTCCTCCAGCCACACACTGGACCCAGCACAGTAGAGTTCTAATTGTGATATACCTACATCACATGAGGATGAGGATGTACTTTCAAGGCAATTAATAATTCAGAAGAACACAATAATTAGTAGACTCTTGTAACCAAGAGTCCTTAAAGAGGTGGCTGAAGAGATCTCTAGCACACTGAGGTTGTTAATAAATATTGGAATATAAGGGAAATTCCAGAAGCCTGGAACAGCACAGGTTGTGCTGTGTGTTGGACACAGAAGTCTGAATGATGCATATAACTTGAGACAGTTAGTTTAACTTTAATCCCACACAATGGAAAAGTGAGCATGGGATTCTATAAGGAAAGAATTAAAGACAGAAACATAATTAATTCCAGTCAATATGGCCTTACAGAAAGTAGATTTTGGCCAACCCCCTCCCCATTTAATTGTTCAATGAAATTACAATTTTGATTGATGCAGGTAACTAACAATGTAAATTTAATATACTTTAACTTACTACTGCATAACATGCTGTTTAAAAATGATCACTAAACCATATCAGCAGATCATTAAACAGCTTAAGAACTGGCTGACAGAAATCAAAAAGTAAAAGGAAATCATCAAACGGAGGTATTTCCAGGTTCCTACAAGGAACCCAATACTATTCAGTGAAATCAATGATCTAAAAGTAGTATGAAATCACTGCTGACAAAATATACAGATGACACAAATGCTTGCAGAGTGGAATATATTGATGAGGACAGGGTTGTTATAACAAGTGGAGCAATCTGGATTACTTGGTAATCTGGGCCTACTGAAATAAAATATAATACTATACACCTAGGATCAAGGAAACCCAACCTACAGAATGGGGAACTGGATCCTGGGAAGTAATTGCCTGGAAAAGGGTTTAAGGGTCAAAGTGGATGGGCATCACACTGGGAGCTCATGTTGAATGTGTTGGTTCTTTTTGTCACATTCCTCAGATGTGCAAGCAGGAGATCAGTGACTGGCTGCAAGGAGGTGATATAACATATTAAAATGCAGGATGAAAACCTGGAGAGGGCGCAGAATGATGCAATACAAGAAAATGTTTTGAGAACTGGAGAAAAATGAAAAAGTCCAACCTAAGAAGTTTATTTAAAAAAGCTGAAAGGTGAATTAGTTACTGTACACAAGCATCTACACAAGGAGAAAATACTGAGTACTAAATAGCCATCTAATCTATCAGAAAGGCACAATAAAAACTAAGGATGGGAAACTGAAGAAAGACAAATGTGAAGTAAAAATAAAGTATGCATTTTTCCCAGTTGTACCCATTAACCATCAGGACAGACAAACCACCAAAAAACCAGGGAAGTCTTTCACTCTTGAAGCCTTCATATCAAGACTGAAAGCCTTTCTGGAAGACATGTGTTATGCTGAATACACCTTTTTCAACTTGACATGGGTAAACTCAGGGAACAGTTGTCTGCGATGTATACAACAGATCAGGGTGGGTGATCTAAAAGCTCCTCTCTGGCTTGAATTTACTAAGTATATTACTATAACAGTTAATTAGCCCAAAAAGAGGAGTACGCCAAACAAGATTTGCAAGACACCCCTGTTCTCAGCTGTACTCTGCAAAAAATTTTCTAAGGTGACACTAGACACTACATCAGAAAAAAATTGGAATATTTTTCTTGCGACTTTGCCCAAGTAAAGTGGCCCATTACCACTTCATCTGTACTTGCTTTATTTTGTCTCTCCCAAGGCAAATATCTTTCTCTGCTGTATTTTAGTGTTCCTGGCATCTGCTTAATAAGTACCCACAGGAATTTTGTTTCATATATCACAATGCACGTGTCAAAAGCCTCTTTTCTTAAGAAGGAACATGCTTTTCAGAATAAAAAGTATTAGTCCATCTTACAGTCTAACAACTATTTAGTTTACTGCGTTAAACCTACATTCAATCTTCAGCATACTGCTCACATTCATTGCCCATATAGTATGTACTATATTTTCAAACTATGAATAGTCACCCCTGAGCTCAGGGGAAGCTGAGATAGGATTTAGCCCTAAGAACTATTTTATTTCTTCCAAAAGACCACTTCTAAAAAAGATACTTGTTTTGAAATCCACAGGTAGAGAGCTGAGGGTGAAGTGGAAAAGGACATTCTATGGGATTTGAAGATCTGTGGAATCTCAGAGCCAGTAAAATTGTCACTACCTCCAAACAACTTCTAATAATATCTACTGAGTGTTCTGATAAATCCTGTCCAAACTTAAACACATTGCTCAAGTACTGGCATCCTTATTCCAAGCGACTTGGAGTTCTGCGTCCTTATGCTGCTACAAGTTAGATTACTGTCAATTGATTTAAAAAAAGGAATAAACTAATAAACATTAGTAAATAACTGAAATGTTTTTGTTTTCAGTGTCTGTAGATAAAACTAACGCATACACTTCCTTATGACCATCTCTTATGATTTTAGAAGTGATTTAGACAAACAGCAATGACGTAACGGCTTATTACGTTCTGCAATCATGGTATTGCCACCAATCAACTCATTTTCTGAAATGGCAAAAACAAAACTAAAAAACCAAAATAAGCCCCACATTCCAATATTTATTTAAATCCTAGTTACACACGTGGCTCTTAATGAAGAAAAAGTGATTCTAGAGAGAGATCCATATTATTTAATAACATCCTAAAGGATTTTGCTGGCTTTTACTTTAAACAAATTCAGTCTTTCAGCCCATGTGCCACACACTATCCTACAGTGATACTTGCAAAGACAGAAAAAAGTAATTGTTTTTGATGCTTGTGTAAGAATCAGTTTATGTGGCACAAGACACTTGCTGAAACTTTTTAAAGAATCCTTCTTCCTTCTTAAATTTTATATAACTTAAGACACACTTCATATCAGATCAAACATTAATGCTTTAACCTTTTCTTCATGGCACAATCCACTAAGATTTGACAAATGAAACCTGAGAAAGGTAACTCCTGTCATCAAAAAAGTTGTATCAGGTATAGTCATGTCATAATACAACAATATATGCCAGTCACCTTCTCAGGGTATAAAGTAAAATTTATTAACTTGAGAGGAAACATCATTTCAGAAGGACTGTGGTTATGGTTATGAAAATCAAGGTCTTTAGCCCAGATTCTAGCATTTCTCTGCTGATTACATTTCTGAAGAATAAATTACAAAGTACTGCAACTGAAATTAGAAAAAATGTTTCACAGAAAAAGATTTAGGGCTTAAGCACTATATAGGCAACAATGCCAGAATATTTATCCTCACTAGAAGGTCAAAAGAAGTCACAAGAAGATTTTACAGTTATATGGAAGATCAAAATACGGAGGGTGAAGAATAATCAGTTTCACTGAACAGGATATTTAAAAAGTTAATAAGTCAGTAAGCCTTCATGTTCTGTGGCACTGGAAACCAAGCAAACCCTGAGAAAATGAAGCAGAATTGACAGGGCAATATCCCCCACAAGGCAAGTGCATTTCCCATGATATATCTGGGAATTAGACGGATACACTTTTTCTCAGAAAACTGTTAGTTTGAAAATCTGAAATGGAGTTTAGAATTTCTTTAAGGAAAGCACTGCAGTAGGAAGGCTTGTTGAACCTCTGTCTGCCCTAGAGTTGGATGAAATTGGGGGAAGCCTGTGCAAGAAGCACATTCCTCTGCTGCCAGTGACAGACAAGTCTAGTACTTCCCCCAAGCATTATACTGCCACTATAAGGTCATCAGCAGGACAGGAATCTCTGGATTCACTGCACAGACTGTTACCCTTGACCTACTGGAATAGTAATCGATCTGGTACTGGGCTGGGCAAGCCCTGGCCAGTAGAACCCTGTCATCCACCACACACGGCTCCACACAGGTCCAAAAATTGGTGGCCGAGGAGTAGTAGCAGCATTAATTGCCACTCCCTTGCTGCCAAATTTCCAGACCCATGGACCAGATAGAGTGGCCCTGTGCACTAGACTGAGTGCACGGGTTTGACTGGTGTGGTGCAGGTCCTGATTCTAGTGTACAGGTTCCAATCCTGGCACGTAAGGCCTGATCTGTCCTGCAAAGTGGCCCCACACCACTCATCCATCCCCTGGGCCCAAGAAGTTGAGTACTTTGTAACCTAACCCTCTTTGTAGACAGCACTAGAGAGGAATGGGACACACTATGCTCATTCGATTTTACAAATAACCTCTAACAGCTGAGGAATGACGAGATGCCGTTCCACTGGATTCCATTTCAAATTCTGAAGGGAAGCATGCTCCAGTGAGCAGACTTTTCTGCATCCCAGCAGCTTGTCAGATAAGCCTCCCTTCACTCTATCCCTGCTCCCCTTCACTGGGGGCGTCTACACAAGACACCATAATGCGCAGTAGCCTATTTTACTGTGCATTAATCCGGGTCCGGGTGAGGGTGATCCCCTGCCCTCCATTAATGCTGACTTTCTGAAGGAACATCTTGAGAAGCTGGATACCTTCAAGTCAGCTGGCCCTGACAATCTTCACCCCAGGGTACTCAAGGAGCTGGCGAGCATCATAGCCCAGCCTCTAGCACAGATCTTTGAAAACTCTTGGCGCTCTGGTGTAGTGCCCGAAGACTGGAAGAAGGCCAATGTGGTGCCTATCTTCAAGAAAGGGAGGAAAGTGGATCCGGCTAACTACAGGCCCATCAGCCTGACTTCTATCCCAGGGAAGATCTTAGAAAAGTTTATTAAAGAGGCCATCCTTAATGGACTGGCCGACGCCAACATCTTAAGGGATAGCCAGCACGGGTTTGTTGCGGGTAGGTCTTGCTTGACCAATCTCATTTCCTTCTACGACCAGGTGACCTATCACCTGGACAAGGGAGAAGAGATTGATGTCATATATCTTGACTTCAAAAAAGCCTTCGATCTGGTGTCCCATGATCGCCTCTTGGAGAAACTGGCTAATTGTCGCCTTGGGTCCTCCACGATCCACTGGCTGGAAAATTGGCTCCGGGGTCGGACCCAGAGGGTAGTAATCGATGGAAGTCACTCATCGTGGTGTCCTGTGACCAGTGGGGTCCCCCAAGGCTCTGTCCTTGGACCCATACTGTTCAACATCTTCATTAATGATGTGGACACTGGAGTCAGAAGCGGACTGGCCAAGTTCGCCGATGACACCAAACTTTGGGGCAAAGCATCCACACCAGAAGACAGGCAGGTTATCCAGGCTGACCTGGACAGGCTCAGCAAGTGGGCGGACGAGAATCTGATGGTGTTCAACGCCGATAAATGCAAGGTTCTCCACCTTGGGAAAAAAAAGACCAAAATGCTGGCTTGCATCCATAGATGCTTCTCAAGCAAATACCGGGACGTCATTCTCCCGCTGTACTCGGCCTTAGTGAGGCCGCAGCTGGAGTACTGTGTCCAGTTTTGGGCTCCACAATTCAAAAAGGATGTGGAGAAGCTTGAGAGAGTCCAGAGAAGATCCACGCGCATGATCAGAGGTCAGGGAAGCAGACCCTACGATGACAGGCTGAGAGCCCTGGGGCTCTTTAGCCTGAAAAAGCGCAGGCTCAGGGGTGATCTGATGGCCACCTACAAGTTTATCGGGGTGACCACCAGCATCTGGGGGAACGTTTGTTCACCCGAACGCCCCAAGGGATGACGAGGTCGAATGGTCACAAACTACTTCAAGATCATTTTAGGCTGGACATAAGGAAGAACTTCTTTACTGTCCGAGCCCCCAAGGTCTGGAACAGCCTGCCACCGGAGGTGGTTCAAGCGCCTTCATTGAACACCTTCAAGATGAAACTGGATGCTTATCTTGCTGGGATCCTATGACCCCAGCTGACTTCCTGCCCTTTGGGCGGGGGGCTGGACTCGATGATCTTCCGAGGTCCCTTCCAGCCCTGATGTCTATGAAATCTATGAAATCAGGGGAAAAAAACAGGTTAACGCACAGTAGAATTAGTCTACATTAAGCATCACAAAAAAACCTGCCTTTGCTACTATGCATTAGTGCAGGCTAATACACCTTATGTAGTACCTCATATTAAAGGTACTAAATGCACTGTTGAAAAGGTGCATTAATGAACGTGTAGACGTGCCCACTGATTCCTAAATACACATTCCTTGTTCAGCCAGCACCAGTCTCCCCTTGGCTTCTTATGCAACCTCAGTGTTTGCCACATAGCCGACTGGGTCCAAGTCCCATCCTTGTTCTTTCAGTTGTCCCCTTTCTCCTTGCCCAGCCACTTCCAGTCTCCCCCACAGCTCCCAATCCCTATCTCTTTGCACAACCAGTCCCAATCTTGCCAGATTCCTTGTCACAATCAATTCCCTTTCCTGCTCTGACCATGGAATGCTAATCAGACAGCTTCTTCGTTCATGCCATCTTGGTGCCTGTAGGGCAGAGAGATGCTGAGAACCCAGAAGAAACAGGCTTCCTACTCAGTTCAGGTACTTGACTCCAACTTAGCCTGAACCAGCTGGAAGCAGCCCTTTCATGAGAAGTTCTTAATATCCATAGCCCTGAGCTACTGTATGCTCAGTCATTACATAGGGATGATGTGGGCGTAACCTGAACAGTCATGAAGGAGCTACAAAGAAATGGAAGTATTCTCAGTTACTCTGTGGGAACTGCAAGAGGCTAGACCATGCTCAGTAAGGAGAGAATCTTCAGATATTTTAGCTCCTGAGCTCTGAGCATGTCCAAGCTGCAATTAAAGTTTCATAAAGTTAAAAGCAGCTGAATAATGGGGAATATTAGGCAGCCTTAATGGTAGGCAGTGCTATCAGTTCGCCTAAAATATTTTTGGGGTGGCTATTTTCTGGGTAAACTGCAAAAAACAAATATTGGGTCATGGTCTTTGCCCTCTAAACATTTTCAGCTCAAAATACTTGACAGTGTTCCTTTAAACAGACTGTACCAAGAACAAATCTCAGCTACTTACCATTATGAATGCACAATAAAGAACTAGTACAGAACAGACTTTATGATGAAAAAAGAGGTCATCGTGCCCTTGTAAAAGGGACATTTTCAGATTTTGTCAGGAACATTTCATTGTAATGAACTAGCTCTTAAATTAGCCCATTCAGATGGCTTTGCTGGTTAACAAATGTCCTTTTCTGAGCAAACATGGAATTCTTACAAGGGATGGCACCTTGAAAATGGAAATGGTTTGGTACTGTTATTCATGGCCATGTTGCACAGGACACTTAGTATGTGTTGTACACTTAAAACCTGAGCGTCCATGCTTCAAGCAGTAAAACACATGCTTGTAGTGAACTTAAGGCTTTTCGCATGAAGATTTCTCCAGATCACACAGAAACACACAATTGGAGGCTTTTATGTAGGCACATCTGAGCACAAGAAGAGAGACGGCAAAGGGGACAGAGCCCCGAGGGACGGGGG